ATGATACAAGAAGGACAACGCGAGAGGAAAGAGCACGTGTTAGAAGGAGTAAATAATAAATAATTCAAAAACGAGAGAGAAGTCGCAACAAATTGTTTTCACTTCGATTCAAATGAGAACGCAAAATAAATAAACAATTAAATTGTCAGAAAAAAATATAATACTATTGAAATCTTAAATCGCCCGTGGAAAGGGTTTAAAGGGGTTAAAGGCGGCAATGCCGATTCGGCGTGTGCTCGATAGTCCGCTCATCTGTTTTACGTTGGGATAGGTCGGCACACACACACGGCGGCGTGTGGCGTATAGGTACCTACACAAGATGCCGAGAAATTGGATCGTCCATTCTACCGGGTGGTGCGCCGCATACACAGACTTAGGCGGGTCGGTTCACAGCGGAAGTGTTGTGTGTGTGTTTGCGGCGACGCACACGGAAATCTCGAAAACGATCGAGGGGGATCTTACTCTCGAAATTCGATCAGCCGGGACGCGAGCGTGCGTTCGCGAGCCAACGCTCGAAGGAGCTCGCCGGTCTGGAAAAAGAGCGCGAGAAGAGACAAGTGGAATAGAAAAAAAAAAAAAAAAAAAATGAGGATGTGGCGTCGCTCCGCGCGTAAAATGTTGCGCAATGCCGCGCGCAAGAGAGAGAATCGCGGAGAAAACATCGACGAGTATTCCGTTACTCGAGGCGAACGGCTGCCGTCGTTACTTTGCATCGTGTTTGTGCCAGAAGCGAGAGTATGCATGCGACGTGTGTGTGTGTGTGTGTGCGTGTGCGCTTGTATAGGTGTGCGTTCTTCACGGCGGACTTGAAGTTAGAGAGCGAAATTCTCTTTTCCGATAGATAAAAGAATCTTCTTCTTCTTCTTCTTCTCCGCGTCTCTTTCTGCTTTTTCTTGATCATTTTGCTCGAGGTTTTGCACGTCACGCGTACGTACACGTCGTGCGTTACACGATAAATCTCGCGAGAGAAACGTCGCCGAGGAGATCGAAAATGGAGTTACGACGCGCGAAGAGCACACAACAACTTGTTCTCTTTTCTTCCGAAATTGCTCGAGCGAGAATCTTGGATGGTACATCAAACAGCTGTCCGAATACTCGACGATATATGCGCGCAAATATGTGACATGACGCCACAAGAAAGAAAGACCGGTCGATCTACACAACAACGCAGCTAAGCGTATCTATGTATGTGTGCGTGCGGTGAGATGAATCTCCAAGGCGGTACACGCGCCCGTCCGCACACGCTGCTGTTGTATATCGGCGTCGCGTTCGCCGGCGCGTGTCCGCAATTGAGAAAAATCGCGGTTCCGGCGGAACGTGCTCTCGATGAGCCGAAGTCGGCGCGGAGAGGCCCGGCGGGGTCGATGTCCGAGCGCGCAACAAGTAACTCAAGCTCACACACACACACACACATTCTCTCTCTTTCTCCCTTTATCTATTCATCCATCCATCTATCTTTTTCCTACTGAAAGCGCGTTCGCCGATCCGGCTTCGATAACGTCGCGCGATTAACAACTTTCGCGTCTTCTTTCGCGAAGCGTCGACCTCCGAAATACGCGCGCCGAGATACGCGCCGCCGCGACACAGCGAGATGATGACACGCTACGCCGGACGTCGCAGCCGTTCCCTCCTCTCTCGTTCCCTCTCCCGCGCGTGCACGGATTTAGAGACGGCGGTCGTAACGAGAGCGCCGGAAGCCGAACGACCTTTTTGAGGTTGCGCCGCTAAGTTTTCGCCCGAGAGGAAAGGAGAGAGAGAGAGAGAGAGAGAGAGAGAGAGAGAGAGAGAGAGAGAGAGAGAGAGAGAGAGTCGGTCGCAGAGGAGGAGAAACCAGCCAGTCCGACGCGACACGTTAGCGATGCTCAAAGTGCGATAGAGAGTATCGCATAATTTTCCGAGTGGAAATGTAGTGCAAAAATACGCAACGAATTTTGCCTCGCGCATTTTTGCTCGGGCCTGCAACGAACAAGAAATTTAACAACAATTTAAAGACACTTGTGACGTAACACACTCGTCTAAAAAGATTTCCGTATTGATATAAATTTCTGTTTAACGTGTTCTGTAATTGAACAGAACACATGAATATAAACATTTGTTTTTTATCAGATGAGACAAATAACACACGATGTATTTTCTTCTTTCGAAAGTGTTCAATTACGTAAAGCTGCTTAAATTATATATATTTAAAGTGTGAATTTTTTAATATATCTAGTTGTGGAAATGTGGAGATAATTAATTGTCGATGCACGTATACGCGCGAGTACACGTATAAGCGATATCGACATTCGGACGGTATCGACGTATTATCATGAGCATCCCTAGGCGCACCGCGGCGGAGCCTCGGGTTGAGCGCAAGAGGTCGATGTCCGGGCGCGCAACAAGTGCCGCACTACGTACACACGTACACACACACACACACCGTTGCCCCCCATCCTCCCGTTCTTTCTTACACACATACACCCCTTCTCTCGTTTTGCTCACTCGTGCAATCGCACAACCACCGCAGCACTCTCTCTCTCTCTCTCTCTCTCTCTCTCTTTCTCTCTTCATCCCTGAGCGAGAGAGGGACGTCTCTCTGTGTCGCTCGCTTCCTTTGCTTCTCTTTGCGCCACCTCTTCGCGAGAGAAAAGAGGAGACGAGAAAGAGAGAAACGGAAGAGATAAAGCGAGAGACACACAACTGGACACGAATGGACGAACAGCGCAACGTGCAAAATAGAAAGAGAGAGAGAAAGAGAGACGGGAAGAGAGCACGCGTGACCGTGCATACACACCACACGTCGTTGGTAAATATAAAACTGCACTGGGTCAGGGATCCCCTCCCCCTCTCCCCGCCGCTGTGATTTATCGGTTGCCTCGTGTAATTGGCCGCTGGCCAATAGATATATACCCCCCCGGGTGCGTTGCAGGAACGGGAGAGAGAGAGAGACGAGAGAAAGAGAGGAGGTGAACGCGCGAGGAGCGAACACGCGTCTAGAACACCACCACCTCTTCCTCCTCCCCGCCGCCTCGCCTCTCAATTTCGACGGGGTGCTACCTATTCGCGGTGATTGCAATCATCAATTATTACTCTTCCTCCTTCTCCTCCTCTTCCTCTTGAAAAAGACGAGCAGAATCTTCACAGGATCGAACTGTTGTCCCTAGTACAGATATTTGACGAATTAAAAAATTGCGAGGTTTTTTTTTTATACACAAATTTTACTTCCGTGGTATAAAGAATTTTTTTCGAGAAATTTCTCATTAAGAAAAAACTAGACGCGCGTGCGGAATGACTAAAAGTTTTTGCGTTTATTTCTCAGACGTGATAAAAAAACCAAAAAAAAAAAAAAAGGATTTATTTCGAAGTGAAAAAGAGAAATTTTATGCGTCTCTGAGAGTTCTTGCGTTTTTTTATTTCAGACGCAATAAAAAAAAAGATATGACTTTTACATCGAAGTGAGAAAGGAAACTCTGATACGTATCTCCCGAAACTATTTTAAGGCGGAAATGCATAAAGAATTCGTGAGAGTTTTACTGAGCTTTTGCGCAAAGAATAAAGTCTTTCTGACGAACGAATACGTACGTATATATGTAAATTAACTTCGTTGTGCGTATATTGCTTTAAATTTCTCTTTGTACATCTCTCGCAACAGCATCGATCGATATTCGCAAAGAGTTCAAAGAGGAAAAAGAATTATTATTTCAAAGAGGAGAGACGCGGGGAGAAACATCTTTTCATAGAGCACATCCACTCTTTTGTGTGAGTGTGCGTATAAGAGTCTTTTATGCAACAAGAGTTGTTGGTTAATAATAAGTCTTTCTTTTTTTTTGTTTTCTTCTTGAAATTGCGCTGCTGCGATTCTTCGATTGCGGATATAAAACTTTTTTCTCATTTTTAAGATTCTTCGAAAAAGAACTTTTTTGCGCAAAAAAAAAAAACAGCGCGGAGATCAGTCTCTTCTCTTTTAATATGTAAATCTATATCAGATATCGGGTAGCGAAAAAACTGCATTTGTAAATTGGAAATTTTTGCAAGGCCGCGAGAAGGAAGTCGCGCCGCAAACGTTTTTTTGCGCAATTCTCGCGCTTGGAAGAGAGGAGGAGGCTCCGTCTCTCCGGGGCGGGAGGAGTGCTCGTGACACTGGTGTAGATACACCGAATATGTACACGCGCAAAGAGAGAAAAGATAACCGTGGAAGAGGAAACAATGGGAAGCCTCTACACGGTCGGGGTCTCACCATATACGCGAGGAACGGTTGACGCACACTTTCGCGGAGGTCAAATTCCACGCGCGACTACTAATGCTGCTGCTGCTGCTGCTGGTGCGTTGCAGCCGCCGGTTGCGGCGACCTTCGTGGTATTTGTTAGGCCGTAAATAAATTGTGTGTGCGCTCGTATCTGGAATATAAGAGAGATGACGCGCGAGAGCCCGCGAGAGCGATTAGACGCGGAGACACGACGTTGCGTGAAAATTTCGAAGTCGAAATCACGAGAGATCGGGGGGGAGTCTGCCCCCCTCACGATTGTTTCGCGCGCGGTACGTGAAAAAAAGCAATTGCGAGTTTTAATTTCGACAACAGGTGAATTTGCAAGTTTTTCTGCTTTTTCTTGACAAAAGCGGATGTGCATTTTTTTGTTTTGTTTCTATTGTTTTTTGTTTTAAGATACGGTCAAGTTCTTTTGGAGAATTTGTTATTTGCGCATTCGCGCGCGGTGCGAATGGAAAATGAAAATTTGGAGCAATCGAGGTAAAAAAATGTAGTATAATAAAATTAATTTATAAACTGATTAAAGCAATAGGGTGATTGCGAAAAAAAAGATTGTCCGAACAGAAATATGCAATTCTTCGCCAACATTCCAACACCGAAATTCGACGTACATTACAAAATCACACGGATGCTACTCACATGAATGAAACTCCGGGGAAGAGCGTGAGAAGCTGCACGCGATCGCCATCTCTCGAGAGGTGTGCGAAAGTCGCGCTTGAACAATGAAGACGAACCCTAAAAGTATACTCCTTACCTTTGTACGGTAAAACTTCTCTTCGTCTTGACGATCCCGCCACGGGTTCCACCGATTTGCCGCAACTCTGAAATTTGTATTTCGAACGTTGCAAACCTGATTGATATCGAAAGTTTCGAGAGTTGTAAAAACATTTATGGAATTTAAAAAAAACAAAAAAAAATCCACCTTTCTTTTTTCGCGAATTTGAGAAATTTGAAATTCCAAATTACTACGTTCGAGGAATTGCTCAAGTTTTTTTTTTTCTATGTTACAGGCTTTGAGAGAGAGAAAGCTCTCGAGAGATTGAGTTAGGTTAGGTTAAGTTACATCAGTTCAATACCGTGAGAGATATCGTCTATATAAATTTCAGAGACACATGTTCTCGCGTTTGATTTGTGTATTTTCTTGGATACTTTTTTTTAAACATACATAAAATTCAAACGATAGAATCTGACGATCAACGAACACATGGCGAGTCGGTCATACGCACTTTCGTCGACCCGCTGACGCCCTTCAAAACGGATTCGAATTTCGAAACGTTGTCGTACGTAGGCGCCGAAGGTAACAGCCTCAGCACCTTGGTCGAGTACAGAGCTTTCAGCGGGTCGAATCTCTCACTGGTCGCGTCCAAACTCTCGTCCGACGTTTCGCTACTGTCGTCCGCCATTTGTTGAATCCGTTTCACTCGCACTTTTTATATAACTTTTGCAATATTTTTATACTAAACTAAACTAAACGTCATTTCTTTTTCACAACAACAGTCGCTCTACGTAACACACGACAAAACGCGTACTGCGTGTTGATCCGTTTGCACTTGCGGCAGCACCTAACTGCTCCTAAAGTGCGCTGAAAGAAAGAGAAGGAAGATCGGCCGAAAGGGCGGGAAGAGACAAACGCGCGGATTTAAAAATAAAGCAACGGATCGATTAAAAGTATCGATTGTTCGGGGAGTGGGTTGTTCCATCTTCGGATAAAGTATCGGGTATAATCTATGGTTAAAACTCTAATCTGTGCGTTGTTCCACGCGTCGGTAAAAATTATTTATCTGGCAAATGATTCAGAAAACCCATAAATAAAATAAATCACACGACACTCCCGGTACCGTGTAAGTCGTATCTAATAGATAAATACGCAGAAATAGATAAAACAATGGGAGATGCGCCGGTTAGATTCCTATTCTGTAGATAAAAAATCTGTCGAGTAAGATCTGAGATTTATCGGAAGGTGGAACAGCCCTAAAAATGACGACGTCGAGAGAAGAGGATGTTGAACCTCTCTTCTCGCGGAAACTTTCTTTCGCGGCTGCGAGTTACGTAAAATGCAGCGCCCCCCCTTCCCCCCGCGACGAGTAGAGGCTGCATAGAAATGCAGCAGTCGGCGGCGATGGCGGCGCGGGGAGGACGGGGAGAGACGTGAGGTTACGCGCGCACACAGGAAGTGAAACAGCGCGCGCTAAGCGAAGCCAGAAAGAAAGTTTCTCGCTCGATGTTTTCACTTTCATGGAAATTACCGGCGTATCGCGCGCCCGCGTATATTCTTCTTCTTCTTCTCTCTCGTCAATGGACGACGGCAATACTCGAATTAGCCACCCGAATCATCACCGTCGTTCGCCGCGCATCGACGAGCAGTTCCGCGATCGAGAATCGGCTCGGCCGTTTTTTTCTTTTCGAAGAACGGAGTTTCGTTCAAATGTCTCTCTTCTTTTCCGGTAAATCTTTGTATATATATATTTTATATCATTTTTTTTTTAGTTAAATATTTCCTCTCTCACACACATCTTGTTAATAATTCTGTCGTAATTTGGGAAACGCCCATATTTGAAACAACAATTTACATTTTGTATCCGAAGCGAAAGTGTTCCGTATTTTTTTCATATTTATTATTATTATTGTTTTTTTTTCTTCACATGTTAGTATTACGTTGAGTGTGGACTTCGTGCGAACATACGCGGGAGAAAGTAACGTGATAATCAGGCTACATTTTAACCGAGTTCAAATTAGAATCTAAATGAAAGTGCGCACACCCCGATGCACCGGAAGTTGTCGCGAGATAACAAGATCTCGTTCCGTAGTGTTTTAATAAGGTTTTAACTACCGAACGCGTTGATTTCTCGGAAGAAAAATGTGAAATGTTTATCCGCGACGTTTCCGCGAAATACGTTGCACACACGGTGTTGCAAATTTTTCAATTTTTTTTTTTTTGTGAACTTTGAGTTGTTAATAACAGGTGCACACACACGCGCACACATACACACTCATGAATGCGTAAAATATTGAAATGGAGTAAATCAAGTGATTTAATTACTGAATATTTATACGTGTGCACGTGATTGTTTTTCTAATTTGTTCAATCGAATTTTTTTCTTTTTTTCAGTTGAGTAAAAACACGTATAGAAACAACATCCGCAGGCGCAGCATAAGCGGGTGGACGAAAGAGACGGGAAGATTCGGAGGTGATTTTAGATGTTAGAGGGAGCGGAGGTGGCTGAAGTGGCCCCGCCGCCGGGTACGGGTCCCGATGCCGGTCCCCGTATCGCAAACACTCACATTAATCTCCACCCTCGTACCCAAAGAGGAATCAAACATGCCCTTCATAGACGACGACCTATTTTGGTGCAATGACAGTGACGGAAAGATGGATTTATCCCAGTGCCTTCAGGTGAGAGAGCAGTGTCTCCACTTAATAAATTTAAAATCTATATATATATATATATATATATTTTACTTGTATATATTTTCTTAAATATTAAAACGGAGGTGTATATATATGTTTAATTTCTTCTCTTCTTTCTCTTGTGTTTCCCAGCAGAGCAACACGGGCCAATCGGTAGAATTTTCGATGGAACTGAGTGCTCTGGTAGGAACTCCGGCGGCGTCAAATATGCCGGCGGAAGAGGGTGCGGGTATGTCCGGTGTTACAGGGGAGGAGCTCTTCGATCCCTTAGATTTTCTGCGAGAACTCGAGGCCGAGGCTAGCCAACCCACCTCCACGACAACCCCTTCCTCCTACAAGCGACAAAGGCACAATATTGCAGCCGCTAATCCTATATTAGCAGGTAATTAACACACAATGCTTTACATGTTTTACGTTTCGGTGTATAAATATAAATAAATATTGTATTTTTTTTTCTAACTTTTGTGTGTGCAGAAAAATTAGCAGCCCCATCGACGCAATCATCGTTGAGCTGCATCCCTTACGCCTCGAGGACGGACATCAAAACGGAGAACATCCAAGCTGAGTCCGGTAAGGGTAAGTGTTCTCTAAAGTGTTGTATATATAAAGTTCGATTTTATCTTGCGATTCCCAACCTCTTTCTCGCTCTTCTTTCTGTACGTCGATACAGTTGGAAACGACAGGAGGATGTGATATGCAGATTTTCTGCATTACCGACTGTGGAAAAAATACAGTCGGTAAAATAAACGGTTTTCTCTATGACTTCTGTCGGTAAAGTGGCGCGATCTTCTTTACCTGAAATCGGTTAATACGGATATGTGCCGATTGAGTTGATCTTCGATAATGTCGTTCTCTTTCCCGTATCGGGAATTTAAATCGCGCACCGCTCAAAGGAAAACCGGCCAAGGCTAACGCGAGCCGACATCCGCGTTAGCGATAATCGCGTGGTGACTCGAGGAAAAAAAAAAAAATACGAATGTGCACGCGCAAATGGTGACGTGCGCGGTCGTATATATGCGTGCGGTGGCCCAATTCTTACAATTTACAATCGTGTCGTAACGCACCGCGCTTTGCGCTTGTTTCGCGATTTTAGTTTCGCGACGAGTGAAAGAACGCGTTTTTCAAACGCGTGTCCCGCAAAATTCACGACTTTTTGCGCGTTTCTCACGGATATCGAACGGCATAAAGTAGACGCGTCTCGACCAACTTGTGCGCGCACACACACATGTGTTACGCTTTATACAAGTATATTCCCTTATATTCTCTCAGTTGCAAACGACCTTTCGCTGGTCCCTCTGAATATTTAATTATTTCTCACAGAAAACTGATGTTCGTTCGCCTATTTGAAAATTCTTGAAAAAGGTTTTTTTACTACTGAATATTTATTTACCTATTGAAACAATATTAACAAAGTGCGCAGACGATATTGAAAAGACGGGGGGGAACGTATTGAATATAATCTATAGTTTCCAGTTTAGAAAAAGGTTTTTGCGCTTTGCGCAACAAAAGTGTCGACTTCTTGTTGAGATTGGTTTTTTATTTTTTTATTTTTTTTTTTTGCGGATCGATTTCAAAGCGGATTTTGCCGGACTTTTGACAGGAGAGAAGGGTGGAGTATCGCGTCTCGCAATTTCGTTCTGACCGCAGGCCGCGACGAGTAATTACAAACCGTTAGAAACACGAATTGAAGTGGGTGCTCATCGTTGTTCTTTTCACATTTTTAGAAAGCGGTTGGAAAGTGAGAAAAGAAACTTTCTAATAAAACTATTACAAATACAGCTCGAAATCTGCTCGAAGTGTGCTCCGGTGTTATTAACAAATATTAAAAATTGCGATAAGAGTCCGCGAAAGACGCGAAGCGTTCCTGCTATATGCGACGTAGCTTCCGCCGCGTGATCTTTTACACTCCGCAATGTGAATTCACACGCTTGATCAATAAGCTTGACGAGCAATTGTCGCGAATGTATTTTGTTTTTTTTTATAGAGAACAAATTTTATCTTCTAATAAATACACGCTCACGCACGAAATTGTACGTTGTCAAACGTCATCGTTACACTTGAGGACAAAAGTAAAAATCGTCGCGTCTTATTTTGGTCAATTCTTTTAATTACGAAAGAACGTTGCAAAAGAAAAAGATTATAAAAACATTTCGGGGAAAAATAGGAAGATATGTGTATATATTTCATGCAAAAAAAAAGATGAAGAAAACGACCAATGTTCTTTTACACATTCTTTTTGCGCAGATTAATTGAAAGGAAAAAACGCTTGGAGAAAATGCAAAAATTGTCTCACGTTTGCGCAAAAATATCAAATACAGTTCGAAAATTGTATCAAATTTTCTTCTCTCGGTTTTTGAAAATTAAGAGTGTAAATATAAAATTGATCTAAACAAGAATGTTCTAATCTTAGCTCGAAACGTTTCAAATCGGGACGCAAAAAAGCGGAGAGAAATTAATTGGCTAAGTAATTTATTAAGGACGTTCCGTATTATCCGGCAGATTTCGATCGCGCTTCTCGCGGCGATACCTAGTGAACTCGTTAAGGCGAGCGGGAGAAAAGCGAGCGCATATAATGTATAACCGGTGTACGTACACTAGTTTTCTGATGTGTGTATCTTTGACGTACGAAGCATCACTTTCACCGAGTACGCGATGCGTAACGCCGCGCGCGCGCAAAAAGAAAAAAAAAGCGGATTTTCACGCGCGAGACGCGCGCCATTACACGCTAGATCGAGCGGACGCGACGCGGACGATTTTCACGCGAGCGCGCGATTTTATTTTATCCTCGTCTCGTGTCGCTTTTTTCCTTTTCCTCTCGCGAATCGGAAACTCCTTCCGAGGCGGCGACGAAGAAATTGTCGCCGCGCCGCATCAACGCCGCGAGCGTTGCTCGTGAAAACAAAAGTAGGACGAAAGAAAGTAATCTCTGCATTACAAACGTTAGGAACGCGCGAATAACTATGTAATTCACTTTCAACTCCGTTCCCCGTTAGCGGAGCGACGAACATGCACACATTTGCGGTGTGCAACATGCACGTTTCTTCGGACGACTTTCGCGATTTGTTAGATTGCGATCGAGATGAGACGACAAAAACGCTCGGATCGATGAAATTTCGCGTCAAGTTTTTTCGTACTCTCGCTTCTTTGTGTTGCGTCTTTGATTGTTTCCTTTTTTCGTTTTCTTTTGTCTCTCTGTCTTTCTTCCCCGAATCTCAGATACGTTTTTAAAAATGTTATCTTGTTGTATTCTTAAAAGATTACAAGTTCTGCGACATGTTTTGCTAATTTTCATACCAGATTACTCTCCCTGTGTTTGTAAACGCGCGCGGCAGAAGTTTCGAATCTCCCGGATTCTCCTTTATCGCGTCTGCGGATTCTACACACCGTTCCTCCTCCTCCCTTATCTCTCCCTTCCCCGAGAGAATAGGGATTCGGAGATTGACGGATTCTAGGTTTCGCCGCCGATTCATAGCTTTCTCGGGGATTCGGGATGCCGCGAATACCCGCGCGCGCGGTCCAAAACGCGTGTCCTCGTCGCGTCCGGGAGCGATTCGGAGAATGGAATTCGTCTCGATAACGCGCGCGTCTCTCTCGCGCACATCTCATCGCTCCCCCCCGCGCTCCCCTTCTCTCCCTATTATCATTCTACCTCGTCTCGCCTTTTCCGCCGCTTGCATCCATCTGTCCTCCGCGCGCGCGAGCGCTGCACTTGTGTCCGCTACCCCTCCCGTTCTCCCTTGACCCTCCCCAAACATAATAAATCTCGTTCCTCCTTCCGCGCGCGCGGCTTCTTCTGTCTCCGTTAGCGCACGGGGAGACCCTACGGAAATAGATCCCGAGTGAGAGATCTCGATTTTCTCTCCGCTTCCTTGCCTAAGCGGAACAAGTGTAGCAACGATGGTATCTTGCGTCGATATGTATCTTTCGTTGTTGCGCGCGGTCACATGAAAAACGTGCGTCACGCTCGTCGCATATAATCGATTAATTCTCTGTTTGCTTTGAAAAAACGCGCGTGTTATACGGTTGCGCGAGAACGCACGTTACAAACCGTATCGCGACGTCCGATCGGCGTCGAGAAATGATTTTCTTTATCAACCGGAATCCGGTAAAATAATCTCTCCCGAGTCAAGTATAATATCGTCGTGCGTTAAGTAATCGCGCGTGGGAAAAACGGACTGGAGGGCTTGAGGATTACAATCGCGAATCTAAAACAGAGTACACAGAGAGCGGAGATCCGAGTAATTCTATGCTAATTGCACCGGCCCGGTTCGCGGCGGCGCCGCGCTATACGCTCTTTCACAAACGCCCTCTCGATCGAACTCTGATAACTCAGAGTTTTCAAGTGATTCCACTCTTTCTGCCCGTCGTTCGACCTTTTACGCTTTTCTGGCTTTCGCTTTGCGTTTTACTTTGCCGCGCGCGCGGCTCGCGTGTTCCGACGCCGCGGATCCCACGCGACGTTGCACTTGCCACACTTTTGCGCCGCGGAATCTTCTCCGCCGCTATAGTCCGGCAACTTTCCTGCCAACTTTTACCAAAGGTGATCTCTCTTTCATCTCCTGTGCGCGAATAAAAATAAAAATAAAAAAAAAAAAAAAACGTTCTCGCGATGTCGGGATCTGCTTGTTATTTTTTTTCTTTTTCGATATCAGGTAGTTGTTACGCTCTTGTGAGAGAAGAAGTCCGAGATAACCGTTGATACGATATCTCGCGAGCGAGATAGTGATTAAATGAAAAAATACTACGTTCGAGTGTGGCAAGTGCCACCGTCGCCGTGTGGTATCTGTCTATCAGTGGCGACTTAACAATTCCGCATTAGCAAGCACATTTTATGCAAATTGTTTGCATCGCGCCGCGGAAACTCTTCCTCATCGATTAATACATTAACCGACAAAAAACCGGGGAACGTTCGAACAACACGTTGCGACGATGTGACGAGAAATAAATGTTTCCAGCGATCGGTGACATGTGTCGCCAATTGACACACGTCACCGGACATTTTTGAAGAAATGTATAATATATATGCAATAAAATACACTTGATTGTAATTTATTTATAATAAATGTCCGGCTCCCAGTTGTACTTCGTTCGATTCAGCGAGACGCTTGTTATTTTATCCGCGATTTCCGTGAATTTCTCGCATCTTTCAAGACTCGCGAGTGTCTCTCGAAGACCCCGTGGGTTTTGCCTTGGAGGAAAAATACACTTCTAAATTGAAGCACACAGCAGCGGCTCGGTGCGAGTTACACGGAATCGCGTGTCCCGCTTGGAGGGATCTCTCGGGGCCGCGTCGGTTGGGTAATCGGCTTCCTCGTATTGCCACACGCGCCGCGCGCTGGTGTGTGCCACAATCCGCGCACTTGCGTCTTTTGCGTCTCTGTCTCTATCATCTTTTCTTCTCTTATTTTTCCCCGCCGCGTGTTGTATCGCGTTTGAAAGTGAATTCAAGATGGCCACTTTAAGAGCCGGGCCGCGTTATACGCATACGAAGAATTATGTGTGCGCGCGCGTTGCATGCGTTGCGCCGCGCGGCCAGTGATAGTGCCGGCCGCGTATAACGAGAGTGTTGACATTTT